CAACATTTACATGTATAATTAATAATATTATATATACTTATTTAAAAAATTCCAAAATTTCTATTTTTGAAGAAACTGTAAGATATTATATATACTTATTTAAAATCAAGACATTCAATATAACTTTTTTTTTATAGAATTTAGATTTGATTATATTGGGACCCATTCAAGGAAGAATTGACTAGTTTGTAGTAACCGTGAGATCCAATTTCAACCATAAATCAATATATAAATTAGAAAATTTATAATTTTGGTAATTTTGAATTAAAATTTTAATGCAAGGTCATTTTATGTATTTTCTCTCCTCTCTCATCTCTTCTCTCTCCGTCCTCCGTCCTTTGGCCACCGTCCTCCGGTGATACCACTATGATACCTAAAAATATTGACTCTGTTAAACAAAAGACACAGTGTGATACCCAAGCATATATAAGATGCATTGTGATACCATTGTGTTACATCTCCGATCGACCACACAAACGACCTCAGCATGATACCCAAGCACATATATGATACATTGTGATACCATTGTGGTATCACCAGAGAACGGTGGCCGGATGAGGGAAGAGAGGAGAGGAGAGTTTTAAAATACCTAAAATGTCATTGCATTAAAATTTTAATTCAAAATTATCAAAATTATAAATTTTCTAATTTGTCTATTGATTTGTGGTTGAAATCAGATCTCACAGTTACCACAAACTAATTAATCCTTATTTGATTAGGTCTCTGATTATATAAATCTAAACAACGATGGCATAATTAAATCAAACTTTTATTAATTAATATATTATATTATTAATAATTTATTTTAATTATATTATAATTTTAATTAATTTATTAATATATTATTTTATATTTTTCAACTAGTTTATAAACTATTTTTTTATCAGGTACAATTAATTTTAATTTGTAACTTAACCGTTTACTAAACGTTTACCAGCTAAATATTTATCGGGTAATTTTTTTTACGGGATGAACATAACAAGAGTCAATAATCTTATCCGATAAAAACGATGATAAAGATTGAAAGTCTTACCTGGTAAGTGAATGTGACGACTCTTATCTAAATAAACATTTATCAAATAAATTGTTACATATGATATATTTTGATATATTTCAACCTTATCCAATAAAATAAATTATAATGTTTACGCATAACATTAAACAATTACCAGGAAGGTATTTAGACAAGGAAACCTTTGTTAGTTTGACCATATCACGTTTTGTCGAACTCCATCTCATCCTATTCCAACACCAAACGGAGTTTGACGGTTCCGAATTCCAAAGTGACTTGTCATTTTCTATTACCTGCCACACCCTTAAGTAGGAGACGGGTTTGGAATCTTGCTGGGGTTTTCGCTACACAGAACAGAAGTGCAAAAGAGAACTGCAAACTGCTTTAAAAAACGGTTTCCTCAAGAAAAATACCCCTTTTTGGAGATTGAAATCGATCCTCTTTGCGCTTCTCAGGTGAACGGAAACCGGTATAGTGTTCCCGATAAATTTTCAGGTACAAAAATGGTGATCAACTTTAGGTTAATACTCTTTTAGTGGTGATCATGTGGTTAGATCTGTACTATTTCGTGTTTCATGGTGTATTTCAACTCCGATCTGCATCGATCTCTACGTTTATGTGCTTATATCGTTTTCATTACTTTCCATTGTGCTAAATTACGAATTCTGTTTGGTGTTTTTAGGGTTTTCTTTACCTTTTTGGTCTTTCGTAGTTAGGGTTTTTGTTTGGAATTTTGCTTGTTTTCTTCAGAGTTCTTTTTGATTTAAGTTGCTTGAGTGGTTTTTTGAAGCGCGATTTGCAGGTTCGAGAGTGATTCTGTTTTAGTATTATGTACTCAATCATTTATATTCTCGTTTTCTTTTTGATTATTTTTGTTTTTGTGTTTTACTAAAGGTTTTGTACAGGATTCATTGCATCTTTGCGTCTGACGGGGGTATCAAGTGTAAGAGCGTAACATGATATATTATCTCCCTCTCTCTCTCTCTCTTGTTTTAGATTCTGTGAAAATTACATAAACTGTGGTTGTGGACTATTATTCATACAATGCATGTTTTTATTTATTTATTTTTCAATCGGCCATGTCATGCAACATGCTTTTGATCTTGTGAACTCTATTAGCTTTCTTCTGTTTCGAGATTCTTTTTGATGATTCTGACTTGGGATTTGTAAAGTCGACATGTGCTATGGTTAGCATTCTCAAATGTGTATATTCTATGATATTAGACAATAAGCGTTTTGGGGTATGCTAGTGTTTGATGTTTTATGAGAAACATGCATAAGAGTTCTTTAATGTGCTATTCTAGGTTTGGTATTCTTTGGCTTCCAAGTGAACTTTATAATATTATTCTTAAACTGAGTGATGTTTTCCCTCATCTAGTTGTCATCATGGTGAGGAAGAGGAGAACTGAAATTCCTGGTGCAGGAGAGAGTTCTGAGCCTCAGGAAGCCAATACTGGGCGAGGCACCGGTGCCCAACGGCCACCAGCACAACAGCAGCAGCAGCAGCCACAAGGTGGCTATCAAGGTCGAGGGCGAGGTGGTCAAGGAGCACAGGGTCCTTATCAGGGTCAGATTGGACAACCTCAAGGAGGAAGAGGCTGGGGTCCAAGGGGAGGTCCTGGTGTTGGTGGACCACAACGTGGTGGTGTGGCTCCCCAGCAGTATCCTGGTGGACCACTTGATCAACCCCAGCAGGGGCGAGGGTCTCAACAACAGCAGCCTCCTAGAGGAACTGCACCATCTCAGCATGGTGGTGGCATGGGAGGTGATTTGCATGGGGGTTCTGGACCTGTGTATGCTGGTGGACCTTCTAGGACATCAACTCCCGAGCTGCACCAAGCAACACAGGCACCCCAGCAACCCGGGGTCACAATGCAACCTATTCTGTATGGAAAACTAGCTACTGAAGTGGTTCATGCGGAGTCTTCTTCGGGTTCATCTACTAATCAGCCTGTGGATGAGGTAGCGGGTCAGCTTAAACAGCTCTCTACCCAGCAAGATGATCCCGTCCAGGCTGCACCTGCTTCTAGCAAATCAATGAGGTTTCCTTTACGCCCTGGAAAAGGTAGCTCAGGAACAAGGTGCATTGTTAAGGCCAACCATTTTTTTGCTGAATTGCCTGACAAGGATTTGCACCAGTATGATGTGAGTTTTTGAGGTGGTTTGTTATTTCAAACTCTCTCATGTTTATCTTGTATCTCTACGCCTGAATGTTACTCTTTGTGATGGAGTAGGTTACTATTGTGCCTGAAGTGACTTCTTGTGGTGTGAATCGGGCTGTGATGGCACAGCTGGTGAAACTGTACAAGGATTCTCATCTTGGGAAGCGGCTTCCTGCATATGATGGACGAAAGAGTCTGTATACTGCAGGTCCTCTCCCTTTTGTCTCAAGAGAGTTTAAAATTACTCTGCTTGATGAAGATGATGGATCAGGCAGTGCCAGGTCTTGCAACTTGATTAATTTAGTTGCTTTTGCTCACCTATATGTAGTGGCTGGTCTATGTTAAAAATCTTTTTGTCATTCTTAATTCAGGAGAGACAGGGACTTCAAAGTTGCAATCAAGCTGGCTTCACGTGCTGACTTGCATCACCTAGGCATGTTTTTACAAGGAAGGCAGGCAGATGCTCCCCAAGAAGCGCTTCAGGTTCTGGATATTGTTCTTCGGGAATTGCCTACTAACCGGTAAGGATGATAAGCCTAGATGCAGTTTTTTGTTGATATTTTCAAATATATTTTATGTTGTATCTAATTGTTGATGTTGGATCTTATGTAGATATTCGCCAGTGGGCCGTTCGTTCTATTCCCCTAATCTGGGTCGAAGGCAACCATTGGGTGAAGGGTTGGAAAGTTGGCGTGGTTTTTATCAGAGCATACGTCCTACTCAGATGGGACTGTCCCTCAATATTGGTTCGTATGTTTTTTGGTCCTATTGATTGGTTTGCAGGGTCTTCTTATCTCACCAGGATATATGAAAGTTTCAGTAAATTACAATCTTCCTTCAAATATGACCTTTATTTACATGTCATGACTTGCGCAAAGCTATTCTTTGATCATTCAGTTTGATTTCCATAACGTGTTAATCATTTGGTTCAAGTTATTTCCTAGATTGATTGTTTAATTTCTGGTTTTTGCCATGCATCTGAGGCTGTGCCTTTTTTGGTACATCAAAACTTGCATCACCTCAAATCTTTTTGTCTTATTACATTGATGTGTGAGATACACTGGCACAATATTGCAAAAAACAGTCCACAAGCCTCTTTATGGGTCAAATATTGGGCATATATAGGTAGTAATTGCCTTCTAGTTTGGCTTTGATATTGCTAAGAGTTGGTGTGAAGTGATTTATGTTCACTAAATGGTCAAATGATGTGATGGTTATTACAAGAAGAAAACTGAGGTCTGGGCTTGAGTAGATATTTTTAGGAAAAATTAGAAATAGAAGTCAATTCTGAAAGACAGAAAACTAATCAGTCAAGTTGTCTATGTTTAAGTTAATATCTGGTACTTGTTGCATTGTTGTAACTGAATTATTTTAGGCTTTTCATTGTTTTCTCCCAATCAGCTTGTCATTGTTGTACCTGCAGATATGTCCTCAACTGCCTTCATTGAGCCACTGCCTGTGATTGACTTTGTCACTCAGCTCCTGAGTAGGGATGTTTCGTCAAGACCATTATCTGATGCTGATCGGGTGAAGGTTAGATTCTTCATCCAGATGATATTGATGCTTTGTGATGGTTCATGGTTCCATGTGTAGTGGTTTGTCAAGTAAATGCATCTTTAAGAAATGGCTCTATGCCCTTCACAATTTTGATAACTAATTTTGCTAAAAGATAAATCGACATTACCATATTTGCTTCTAGATTAGCTGATAATAAATTATGCCTGTATATTTAAATTTGCAAAAGATGGTTGATATTTAAATGAAAACAGGATTTAGTGTTACCACAGTTATTTGGAAAAATAGCTCATTTGGCTGCATGGGAAACTTTTTCATCACCCATCAACATGGATTAATATGGAAAAAACTGTATTCAATAGCTTTTCTGGAATATAGATTGTTGTTCTGGTGTAGTTTTATTATTAGCCGACTAGCATGATCAGAAATTGACAGTTTATGTTGTTTGAATATATTTTGTGTCAAACATTTACTAATTAGCATTGCTTACCTGCTTCAGTTGAGCATTTTATGTCGTTTGATAAAATTGAGCTGGATTTTATGTGTTACTCATTAGATAAAGAAGGCACTGAGAGGAGTCAAGGTCGAAGTAACACACCGTGGAAATATGCGTCGGAAGTATCGCATATCTGGGTTAACATCTCAGGCAACACGAGAGCTCAAGTAAGTATTAGTAGCTGGTTTGCAACAGTTTTGACCTGTATTTAATTTGATTATGTTGTGAGCTATGACAGTTCATTTTTTCAAACATCAGTTTTCCAGTGGATGAAAGAGGTACAATGAAATCTGTGGTTGAGTACTTCCGTGAGACTTATGGATTTACGATCGTCCACATACAATGGCCATGCCTGCAAGTTGGAAATACTCAGAGACCTAATTATCTGCCTATGGAGGTTCTTAAATAACCTCATCTTTTTCTCCTTTGATGGTTTATCTTGAGATGCAGTCTAATGTTTGAATCGTCAGGTCTGCAAGATTGTTGAGGGGCAGCGGTATTCAAAGAGGCTAAATGAGAGACAAATTACAGCCCTACTCAAAGTCACCTGTCAGCGTCCTCAGCAGAGAGAGATGGATATCCTTAAGGTTATGCTTGTGTTAATAAACCTTTTTAGAATATTTGCTGCACTGTGCCTTCTGTACATGGATTTTTTTGGATTTGGAAGTTGCAAACATTTTTCATTTCTTCACTTTTGTGATTTATGACCGTGCTGATGCTTTGTTGTTCCATTTCGATAAATTAAAGTTTTTTTCTGGATAACTGTTTTAAATGCCTTTATTTAAAAGGGTAGGTATCTGGATATATAGACAGATGTCCAAGATACACCTCTTATTAGTTTGTTTACTATTGAGACGCCACTATATATTGCATATTTGTCTACTTGGTTGGTTGGCTACTATTCATTTTGCATGTCTCATGCTTCTGCAGACTGTCACTCACAATGCTTACGGTCAAGATCCTTATGCAAAGGAGTTTGGGATAAAAATTAGTCAGAAGCTAGCCTCTGTTGAAGCTAGGATATTGCCTCCTCCTTGGGTGAATTTTAATCTCATTCTCTTTATTGACTTTTAAGTATACCTTCTAACTTTTATTCAAAAAAAAAGTATATCTTCTAACATCTCATTTTACTTTTTGTAGCTCAAATACCATGACACAGGCCGTGAAAAGGACTGTCTGCCTCAAGTAGGTCAATGGAATATGATGAATAAGGTAGCTGTACTTCTCAATATTTTCATCCTTACCTACTGCTCCCTCTGAGTGTCTGCATTTTTATTTTAGTTTGTCCCATATAAATGTCCATTTTCAAAAGTAAATACCTACTTTCCAAATCTACCCTTAATTACGTGATAGAGATATTCATTACTCCGTCCATTATTAAGGGTCAATTTATCATTTATTTTTGTACGAGGGAATAGCATGTATTCTTTATGTGATGTAAAAACATAGATGCTTCATCTTAGTTTGTCACTTTCTTTGTTATGCCATTTCTGAAGTTGTTGGCTATTGAAAGTTTTGTTTTTAGTTATCTTCATTTGTCACCTTTTATTGGTTGGTTTATGATATAGTTTGTGTTTCTTGCTAGTGCTGTTGCAAGTATGAGGAGGCTTATGTAATTACCCTCTTAGAAATAATTTGTTTAAGAGACACAAACTTCTTGTGCTTAAAATTTGTTGCAGAAAATGGTCAATGGTGGCAGAGTAGCAAGCTGGATCTGCATAAATTTTGCTCGCAATGTGCAAGATAATATTGCTCATACTTTCTGCCAAGAGCTTGCCCAAATGTGTAACATATCCGGCATGGTATGTCAAGAACTCTCCACTTTCTGATCATCTGCAATTCAAATGTCTTTTGGGTTAATACATTTTATTACTATTTTACATTGTTTATGCAGGCATTTAATCCTGAACCTGTGCTTCCCCCACTTAGTGGTCGTCCTGATCAGGTGGAAAGAGTGTTGAAAGCTCGTTTCCATGATGCCATGACAAGGCTCCGACCCCATAAAAAGGAACTTGATCTGCTCATAGTCATTCTGCCAGACAACAATGGCTCTCTTTATGGTATTAGATTTTGCGGAAAAGTTCTTTTTGTTGATGAAGTTTATGTTTTATGTTTTTTATTCTATTTTTTGTGCAGGTGACCTGAAACGAATCTGTGAGACTGATCTTGGCATTGTTTCTCAGTGCTGTTTGACGAAACATGTGTTTAAGATGAGTAAGCAATACCTTGCAAATGTGGCTTTAAAAATCAATGTTAAGGTTGGAGGAAGGAATACAGTTCTTCTTGATGCAATTTCAAGGCGAATTCCTAATGTTAGTGATGTTCCTACCATCATCTTCGGTGCTGATGTTACTCACCCGCACCCTGGGGAAGATTCAAGCCCATCTATTGCAGCTGTAAGTTACAACACATTTTCCATCGTGTAGATTTTTATTAATGATGATAACTCTTGGTTAAACTGCATGTATGTAGGTTGTTGCTTCTCAAGATTGGCCTGAGATTACAAAATATGCTGGGTTGGTTTGTGCACAAGCCCACCGTCAAGAACTCATCCAAGATCTATTCAAGGAGTGGCAAGACCCAAATAGAGGCAAAATGTCTGGTGGCATGATTAAGTATGCTCTTCTGTCCATCTTCCTATCTTGTGGTTTGTAATTCTTTTAGTATAATGATTATTTGTTTTTATGGAATGCAAAAATAGGGAACTCCTGATATCTTTCCGGCGAGCAACTGGGCAAAAGCCACAACGCATTATTTTCTACAGGTATTCGATCTTCAAGCAGTATACTTTGTGAATGTAGTTGTAGGGGCTTCAATTGGTGCTCACATTTCAGATGATGCCATGTAGGGATGGAGTGAGTGAGGGTCAGTTCTATCAAGTTTTACTTTATGAACTTGATGCAATTCGTAAGGTATTTATTTATATGTGGAATTTTTTCTGTAAATCCAGTCGTAATCTAGTTATTACTACTGTACTCAATGATATCGCTTTTTAAACCTTCATCAGGCATGTGCATCCTTGGAGCCAAATTATCAGCCCCCTGTAACATTTGTGGTTGTACAAAAACGTCACCACACAAGATTATTTGCTAATAATCATAATGATCGTAATTCTATCGACAGGAGTGGAAACATACTGCCAGGTATTCAATTCGATTTGTAGTGATCATTTGGCATTAGTGTATACTTGGTTGCCAAATTATTTGCAATGTGCAGGGACGGTTGTTGATTCAAAGATATGTCATCCGACAGAGTTTGATTTCTACTTGTGCAGCCATGCTGGGATTCAAGTATGTTGAGTACATATATAAGCATATTATTATGATGTTCAATATGAGTTTGGGGTTATGATTATGACGATGATGGTTGAACAGGGTACGAGCCGTCCTGCCCATTACCATGTGTTGTGGGATGAGAACAAGTTTGCAGCTGATGCTCTGCAGTCACTCACAAACAACCTTTGTTACACGTATGACATCTTCCTTTTTCTCTTATATATGATTTAAATTCTGATGTTTTTTTCTAATATGAGATTGTCCTGATAAACTAGTTTTGATTTATGTTGACAGATATGCAAGGTGCACTCGTTCTGTGTCCATTGGTAAGTAGAATGTTTGTTTTGTAATAGTTGTTAATAATGGTCAAGTGAGTGAAAAATAACCATAAAGAAATTATGTTTGGTGTTTGATGACAGTACCACCGGCATACTATGCTCATCTGGCTGCGTTTCGTGCACGGTTTTACATGGAGCCAGATACATCAGACAGTGGGTCGATGACGAGCGGACGTGGAATGGGGATGGGGGTAAGGAGCACTCGTGTGCCGATGCCAAATGCTGCTGCTGTTAGACCCCTTCCCGCTCTCAAGGAGAACGTCAAGCGTGTCATGTTTTACTGCTGATTGATTGGAAATTGCATTGCTGCTGTCGTTCACTTGCTGTATTTCCTTTGCCAACTTAAAAAACTTGTTGATTGGAATGGTATTATTATGTTGTTTGGTATTTTATCTGGTCCTTACTTTTGATTGAATGAATGGTGGTTTCCTATTTATTAACTTCAATTTCCAACTTCTCTTGGTTTTTGCCCTTTGATTTTTTAAAATCACATCATTGAACTTCATAACAACCACAAGGGTGGTGTTTGATTGATTTGAATTTGGCTCTAAAGGTCAAAAGTGTCGGGAGTTTCAGGTTGAAATGAATAAAAATTCCCTTGTGGCTTCGAAAGTCAAATGCAGTGCAGATGGTTGTCCTGGGATTAGTCGGCTCGCATGACGGGTTGGATATCCAGTTTAAAAAAAAAATTCATAACCAACATGAATATGCAACCAAAAGACCATCTCAAAATCCCATTAAAAAATATCATAAAATCATTCATATTTTCTACTTGATTATCTACACTCAAATTGAGTGGTGTATAATGAGTCATCATCCCCATCAACATTAATCCCATAAACATCTTCTTCCCTTTCTTCATCCCATCTAATCACTTCTCTAATATACTTCAATGCCTCTTCCACAGACCCACTTTCCCTACCCACACTTTGGCATACAAAAAGCTTCCTACCAGTTATGGACCCATAGAGCTCTTTGAACTTCATGGCCACATAATAGTAAGCCTGGTTAGCCAGTGACTGCTGCTTGTGTTGCGGTTTCAAGGGTCCGAACCCACTGAACCATTCGCAAACGGTCAATGGGATTCGACTGATTTTGTCCTCAAAGATGTCGTATTTGTTCAGGATGAGTACAAATGGGGTGTCTGCAAAACATGGTTGTCTTGCTAGGCTCGAGAATGAATCTCGGTTCGCTAACATCTTGTTTTCCATGATGCCATTGCCACCGTGGGACCACACCTGGTCGTAGTCGCTTAACGCGATGCAGAATACGACCACCCGTGCGTCTTCAAACATGTCTAGCCATTTGCAAGTGTCGAATGGTTTTCCCTTTGTGCTCATGCGGATTAGCTGGTACCTAGGGAAACAATCGGCGATTAAAAGGAGGAAAGCGAGAAAATGGTTCATTTTCTAACCGTTGTGCTTCGTGTTTTTGATACAAACCAAGTGACATTCTTGTGAAAAGGCAAAAGGAAAATAAGATAGTTCATAATAATAACAAATTTTGGACAAACTATGAAAATGTAGAAAATCATGTTTGAACTTTTTGTTCAAAATTGCCCATTCTTACAATTTGCAAGAAAATGCAACGTATTTCGATTCGTATTTTGTGTAGCGTACTTTCAAAACCTTCATTTTGGTACCTCAGACGTGACATTTCAAACATCTAGACCAAAGTTGTAAACCACGTACCTAAATGTTTGAGATGTCATAGCCGAGGTACCAAAATGAAGGTTTTAGAACATCACACGAATAAGAATCGGACAAAAGGGGGTAATTGGGATGGTTGTAAGAATCTAAACACATGATTGTTACACTTCAATGATAGAGGTAGAGGTAAAGTCTGCGTACATCCCACCGCAAGCCCCACCTCCAAGCGGAATATACTGTGCTCGTTTAGTTTGGTTCACTAAAATAATCCGAGGTATGACCGATGGAACTTCAGTGATCATTTTATCTGGTTTGCCAAATTTGGGGAACTTACTTGACCAAAGGAGATGGACCGTTTTCATCATGTATTTCAGACATGGGGCTGCGATCATTGAACGAGAAATCCAGATAGGAAAGACCGTTGCTGGGAGTTACTCCTTCAGCGTATAAAATGTCCTTCTCTGATGGTTCATAATCATTGCTTGATAACTCAATAGCCTGCACATAAAAAATGATTGATCTAAGCAGCAGCTATGAAACATAAAGAAAGAATCGAAGGGTCTTTGGCCCAATGGTATCCGGGTTAGCGGTAGAGCCCAGCCTCGTAGGAGGCCAAGGGTTTTTAACTCAAGAGTGTTTGCGAGTATTTGCCGTATATAAATATTACATACTTCAAAGAAAAAACTCAAAAGAAGGGTTATCATAGAGCCCAAATGAGACTAACAAAAAGAATACCTGATCCAGAAAATATTTGACAACATCCGGAAGATGATGCAGCTCGTGCCTTCGCTTGTAAGTTTCTTGAATAGCGGGATCCTTCCAAATTTCATCTACTAGAGGAGCATACTCGCGAGTTGCAGCAGGAAAGTAATTGTCAAAATCCCCCATCGTCAATATATCCAATAACCAATCAGAAAAATGCTTAAATTTTGGGTTAAGGGAGTAGACACATCGTGTACTTCTGTCAAGTTTTGAACCACCTGCACAAGATTAGTCATGCATCATGGGATCCTGAAGGGTGCGTTTGGTACACTGGACAAGACAGAACAAAACAGAACATGGATCCTTGTTCCATGTTTGGCAGGACTTTTATGTGAAACAAACATGAACAAAGTGGAACAAGCCTGTTCTACCCGATGGAACAAGGTGGAACTTATATTTTACCAATATAACCTCAAAATAGAACTTAATTCTCTTCTAAAACATCAAATAGGTATCTTTTGTACATTTTATTCATTCTTTAATTTTAATTTATTGTATTTCATGCTTTTTTAAACTTTCATTTTACTGTCCTCAAAATATTATTTTTATACGGTTTCTTTTTTTATTAATTTATTATATATTAATAATAAAAAATAATTTAGAAAAGAGATAAGATAAAAATTGGAAACTAAATGAACTTTTTATTTTTGTGTCATTTTAATTGTTTTGACGAAAACTATCTAACGATATAATTTGTTATAAGAAATAATTATTTTATTATAATTTAATAAATTACATAAACTAATAAAAATATATAAACAACTCATTACGGGTAAATTGGTCATTTTACTTGTTTTGTTCTATCCAGTTCTGTCTTACCAAACGCTGAACAGTTGTTCTGTTCTGTTCCGAATTGTCCTGTCTGGACGCAAACGCACCCGCAGGGACTGAACTGGATGAACAAGAGTGAAAGTTTTTAGGGTTTTAATTTGAATTTGGTAGTTTAGTAATTTACCAATCTTGTCCTATCTCTCTTATTTTTGTTCCAACTCTTTTTTAGTGGGACAAAAATGTCTTCTCCAATCTAATATCAAACTAAACATGGTGGACACCAAAGTTTTTGTTCTATCTTGTCCCGTGTACCAAACGCACCAGAAAGAAATGCAAGTGCCGAAAGTATAGAACCAAAGCCGAGCAAAACTAGATGGCATTATAAATACAATATTCAAGTATGGAAGCAAAGAGTTGGAATATATAATAAAAAACCACAAAGTTCACAATTTTGTGGGTTTGGAGTTTATACCTTGAACAGAGTCTTGATTGCCTGAAAAAGATGGTTTTTCTTCCATCAACGCTTCCTCTTCAAAACGCTCTCGCCCCTCAAGCAAGACACTAACATATCTGTACATGTTACTTTGTATCATAAGCTTCAGATTCTGCAATTCCTCAGGGGAGAACTTGTCTCCATATAAAAACCTCACCTGCAAATGAGCAATTTATATAACTCCCTCACTCCCAAAACCAATGTCCACAATAAAAACACACACAATTTTATGAACGTATATGTATTACACCTTTTAGTTAAATGAATGACAATTTTTCCCTTAATAAATTTTTTAATGGATACCGTGTTTCCATCTCTATCAGATAAATATTAGCGCATTAAGGGTAGAATTGGAAATTTAGTAAATTATGACTACCTATTTTAGAATATTTTGGGACAAACTTAAATAGAAATTGTTGATTCACTCTCTCAGTAATTTAATGATGATCCTTTTTATCTTACGAAGTGCATTATCTCTGTATTCAGCTTCAGCTATCATCACTGAGTCTGTTCATTGATCGATGAACAATTATTGTAATTCTCTCAGAGACAAATATTCTTCAGGAAGACAAAACTCACACCACAGAACCTTCAGCGATATCGAAGATAAAGCTGAAGACAGAGACAAACAAGTTCGTGATCTGATACGGTTTTCAGTGATAACAAGCTCGTCTACACAAGTGTGAAATCTACTCAAGATTCAGCGAACACTGAAGGAACCTTAGTGTTATTCCAGTGTCAACGATCAAATGAATCTTGTTGAACAAGATTAGTTTTTGTCTTGTCTTTCTACCCACAAAGGACAAACCCATACCTCTCAAAGTAAAGTACTGTACGGAGTCACTCTATTGTCTCCAAGCATGCTTACCTACTTTGTGAAAGACTACTTTTGATATACGGCCAAAAGCCTGTATATCTGCAACAAAGGACAAGCTTACTTCTAGAAGCTTGTCACGTGCTTTGTACCTTCTGAATTGCATTTAATGCAATGGGTATAAATAGCTAAGAAGTTCTTCCTTCTCAGTTATCTTCCCTATCTCTATCCAAGCTTCCTTGCCTTGAAGATCATATTACCCAAGAAGATACTTCCCTATCTCACAACCACTCTAACCAGTGAAGAGCACAAGACCTCTTAACCTTTTCTTTTAGCAAGTCTTTTCTTTCTTGCTTTTTGTAACTTGTGTGTTTCTTTGATTGTTTAGATAAGTTCTATATCTTATCTTTTCCACAAACAATCTGTAAAAATCTGTATTGATTTTCTTTATCAATAAAAAGATTTTTAAAAGTGAAAGTTGTTGTGTTTGTATTCATCCCCTTTTTACAAATTGTTACCTATAAAGTATAAACTCTTATAGATCCGACTGAGATCAACAGAAAAGCGGACACGTATTTTAGGACAAACTTATATAGAAACGCGGACACTTATTTTGGTACGGAGGGAGTATCAAAGACCCAAAATAAGGAAAAGATGATGAACATACTAACGTAGAATAGAAGGCTAGTCCTTGATGTTTGTTGGGAATGGCCCTTCATATGCATACCATTAATCTGTGATATTCTAAATAACATGTATATAAAACAATATCTTGCACAAACAATTGGTAAAACAAATTATTGGCAATGTAAAAAACAGCATTTTTTTCACTAGTTGGGCCAAATAAGGTCCTACTTTGAAAACAAGTCGATTATGCTACAAATTTTCCAACAAAGAGATCCAGTTTTCCAATATTAATCTTCAACATGAATCAGTTAGTGTAATAGGAAAACCATTTCTTATTGCTCTATACAATCATAATTTGTTACAATTGGTTGATCATGAACGCTAAAGAGTTGGCTCAACGACAGGACGTTTTGGACTCAATTTAGCCAGCCTTAAGGGTTGGACTGAGACATTATCAAGTAATCATGTATCTATCTGTAGCTACTACATACTTGCAAAGTTTGTCTTTTAGATCTTTTGGATTGGGCCTATAAGCATTATTGAAACAAATTTATATCACCTGATAGTTGAATTCACTTCTATTTTCTGAATCCCATGGTCGAATATTATTGTTAAATTAAAAAGAATTATCATAATACAGTAAGATATTACCAGTACACTGCTGTAGTCGTAAAAGAAGTTATAGTTTATATGGTCTTCACAAAAACCACTAGCCTTCACTAGGGGTATATGGTTGGCAACTTAACTATGAAACTCGACTCAACCGGAACTCACTATATCTAAATAAATCAATGTTGTTCGATACTGGTCTTTGTTTTTGAATAAGGACTTCAGATGCAAAATAACTTTTGCCTTGAAAATACCTTAATTAGATGCAAATTAACCAAACAAAACCAAACCAAACCAAACCAAACGAACCGGGTATATCCCACCTGGAGTGGGGGTTTAGGGGTGGAATGTATGCAGGAGTCAAGCGGTTGTTTCATGAAGATCCCTCGTTTGTGAAAAGTGTGAGCAATAATAGAGTATGAAGAATTTGAAAAAAAGGAAAAGAAAACGAAAGTAAAGACCAAGAGACCAGAAAGAAAGATACGCCGAGAAATGGAAAGAAGAACTAAGAGGCCGTTTACTAAACGCTTACCCGGTAAGTACTTACCGGGTATATTTTTCTCACCGGATGAACATGGCAAGGGCCAAGAATCTTACCCAGTAAGAGCGATGATAAGGATGGAGAGTCTTACCTGGTAAGTGAGGATGACGACTCTTACCCGGGTAAGCGCTTACCAAGTAAATTGTTGTATAGGATACGTTTTGATATACTACAATCTTACCCAATAAAATAAATTATAATGTTGACTCCTAATGTTAAACACTTACCGGGTAAGCATTTAGGTAAACAGCCCCTAAGTCTAGTTAAAAGCAAACGCCATCACAAAAACATAGGCTAGCACAAGAAAAGAAAGCTATCCAATCTATCTTAGGACCCGGCTAATCTACATGCCAGCTCCCCAGCACTACCCCCCCCCCCCCCCCCCCCCCACCCTTCCCAACTTTCTACCAACCATCATCAACCATCATCCAAGCACACTAACAAAAACCTTTTCCACAAGAATTCCCATGTTTCATTTGAGGAAACACCATCATTGTTGTTCATCGGTTTTTGTGCTTAAATATGTCAAGCAATCGGTGTTATTGAGATCGAACATGGTGGATCGGTTTGTAAATCACAAGAGCTTGTCTGATTTGCATCCAGTAAAGTGGGTTGATCAAATGATATGCATATTGGCTCAGCTCGTTTAAATCCTAATCAGTACAGATTAATGTTTTGGTCCTGTAAAGTTCAGCAAAAAAAAAAAAACTGTTGCTAAAGCAGCCATATGACTTCTTTCATTTTGGACATAGCCATGCATACAATCAATGGTGCAAATAGGGCATGATTAGAAAGGCTTTCCACGTACCAAAAGACTATAAACCCATGAAGCAATTAATATATGAGCTATAGTTGTGTTAGTATGAGTGAGATCTTCATTCCGAATACATCCATGCACTGAAAATATAACATAGGACCAATATGGACAGTTTTGAACTTCAAAAACCTTCTATTGATATTAAGATGATCGTGGTTGACATCCAATGTGCTGTTTGAGTTAAGTGCATTCAGATTATGAATTATGCAATGAACTAAAAGCTAATTGTGAAGATTTGTTTTTAAAAGGTCAACAAACTTGCACTCTCATTCTTCTAAAAAGACTCAAACTCACAAACTATTGGTTGCGAAGACTCGTATGATATCTTTGCACTTGGTTAGATGTAAAGATGTTGTATCATAGGTTCCCAAGTCCCAACCTTATGGTGAAAAAACAAAATTATGAATGAAAATTGGAACTTACTTGAGAAAAGGCATCCGAGGTGTTGTATCTAGGTTCCCAACATGTAGCTTGTTCTCTTGTTTCCTTTTTTGTTTTGCAAGCGGGTCTTTCACATAAACAACATCTCCACCCCTTGGGGTAGAGGAAAGGTCTACGTAGATCCTACCCCACCCTACGTCTGCGTGGATTTACTGGGTTCGTTTCGTTACTTAAAGAAAGACATCAAATTTCTACAACAAGAAACCCTAGGTTTGGTCATGAATAAACCACCAAATACTTATGAAACTAAGGGCTTGTTAGTTAGCATCTTAATGAGCTTAATGGGACTCAAAGCTTATTCAGTCAGCTATACATGACTATTTGGTAGTGGCTTAATGATATGGAAATTGGCTTATTCAGTAAGCTTCTAGGGGGAGTTCTATGCAGAAAGCCAAGTTTTTTTTTTCCAAAACTGTCCCTCCCAATTAAAGAACACGCTCCTTCCATCTATAAAAAAACCCTCCCAAACAAAAACCTCCTCAACCTATACAAACAGATTACCCACACAGACAACTTTATCCATTCAGGACTTGATGTAAAGCCAACCAAAAACAGCCCCTAACTGAGATATGATAACATCTATCACTCATAGCCCCATTTAGTTGTCAGCAGAAAGTGGGTACTTAATGGAGTAACATAATTTATTACATAGAAAGATGCATTAAGTACAAGTTACGCCAAACAACATCAATGAAGAAGAAAAGAGTATTTGTCGCAATATAGGCAAAACAGTACAAGACAGACACAGATTTCAGAAAGAATCATGGGAAAGGAGCAAATTATTCATAGGTTTCCAAAGCAAAGCTCCATTTGGGGAGTATTGAAACCAATAACAAAGAAGTCAAGAAGCATGTTGATACCTGCTTGAAAACAGTGCTTGTCCCAGATCCTTCCAACCCAAAAAGCATAAGCTTCTGAACTCTTCCATGCTCCAAATTCTGAGGCATAGACTTACTTAAGAATGTACTAGGGTCATTGTTCGACCCATGGGAATGTTCATGCGGCACAGGCAAACAGAACAATGAACAAATGAACCGAGTCGACGCCTATCTACCAATAAAACACAGTTTCAACCAGTTAAGTCCCGGCTAACTATCACAAAAAATAAATGGCAGACTCGATAGAGTAAGAAGATACATTAATGAGAAACTAAGTGAAGAACCTTTCCCCAAATGTTCCCTTTAATATTATTTTGACCCTCTTCCTCATATGATCCATCATCATAGAGCCAGAAATGTGTCCCTTGTGGACATTGAACCTTTGCCAGCTGAAATGCAAAATCAATCATTGAATCATTGTGCAATGAACAACTACTGAAATGACCAAATAATTTAGGGGTCAAGATTGAGCTCTTAGCTTTTGTATTTTAGTGGGGTTCTTATTCCAAATTCTGATGTTGTTCACTTAATGATTGAATTTGAGTGCTAATCATATACCTTCAGAAATCTGAGCTCAACTTTTGTGATTTGACGACCATTGATGTAAACTTGTGTGTTTCCATTGCTTGCATCCACCTGAAGCTTACCGCCCACATTCAATTTTGAACTTATGATCCTATCAGGCTTCTCCCCTTCCTGAAAACTCTCATAAAGTTTTAATCACATTACCATTATAACAAAGATATCAAGAAACCAAATTCAGAACTCTATACCCATATCTTACCTGCCCCCAAAGTCCAGAATCCTTATCATACCAATAGCTTCCGGGTTTCAACTTCAATGGAGGAACAGGGCAACCCAAAAGCTCATCCATATCCTCCTGCTGCAACTGTCTGCCATTAACAACAAGCTGCTCTGGACGAAGCTGATTTGCAGAGCATTCTTTTTCAGCCATCATTATCTGTCTGACCTCCAAAGGGCTACAAACCTTGGACAACATCCTGGAACATTTGCCAAGAGTCTGCCTTCTTGATTCACGAATAGGTTGCCCAATACAACCCACACACTTCCGCCCTTCAGGCATCGATCCCATTGCCTTTAGCAAACAGTTGCTACAATATCTCGCATCGCAGACGATGCAATCTTCCTTTTCTCTCAACCTGTTACCTTTCAAACACCTGCTACAAATGTTCTTCTTCTTCTTCTTCTTAATCTTACCAGTTTCCACGACTGGCGAAGCAGTAACACTCGTAGATAACGCATTATCGTTGTTATCCTCGCCACCATTATTATCTTCGTGTTCATCTTCTTCTTCTTGGGTAGTGTCGAAACTGACGACATCAGAAACTTCATCTTCTCCGGTGTCGGAAACGAGACTGACAACAGAAGCAGCCAAATTGGTAGTAGCAGTACTATACTTGTGATTATGTTGAGGAATTTTTCGGGGTTTGGTGAATGTTGAACTCTTGATGATGGGTACGGGATTGGTGTTTCCGGAAAGGGATTGGTAAGGATGGGTGGGGGGTTGGTATTGGACGGAAATGGAGTAATCGAGTTGATCTTCGTCCGGTAACGGAGCGCCGGCCGGTAACATCCTACGGAGGAGATCTTCCCAGTGATTGTTGGAAGGTTCTTCCTCCTTGATAAGATAATCACCATCCGTCATTGTTGTGAGCTTGATTGACAGAGAGATGGTGGGGGCGGATTTGGAGAGTTGTTCGCCGGTGGGGATAGAATGGATGTTACGGATATCTCTTGCGTTTCTTTGTTTTTTTAAAATAATTAACGTAAAAAAAATCAAGAGTAATTTTATTCTTATTTATTAGTATGGTGCTCGCATGATCCATCGAGATATATCTCGATTTTAATGTTTTGTTTTATTAATTTTTTTATCTTAGTTGATATTATAATATAATTTTATATGGTTTTGAGAAAACAATAATATTTTTATTTTTAAATAAAATATAAATATGAAGATATCATAAAAATTTAAAAAGTATATATTGATACTAGAAGCATATTCGCGCAATGCAGCGAGATACATCATGATTTTAAGATTTCATTTTATTCTTTATCTCAGTCGATGTTATAATATG